AAAAGGAGAAAAAGGAAGCTGAGATGCTGATCGCCGTGAGCCTATGGTAAGCATAATTATAGAACGCACTTTAGTTATTCAAATAAAGTAAGGAAAATTTAGATTTATAGGAAAACTTTACTTAGAGTTAAGCGGTTAGAATTCCAGGCGCTTATTCACATACGATTGAGGGATACGATATATCACTCCTGATTTCCTTCCTATAGTAAGACTGTCTTTGATCAATATAATTGGATAATAATAACTGATTTTATATATATATATATAATGGCTAGCTTGGGTCATCAATCATTACCTCCCACAAATCTAGGTCACGTAGATGAAGAGATGGTACCCCCAAGTAGGGGAGTATCACAAATATAAAGTCATTTTGTTTTGGTGTTTCACGTCATAAGGCTGGCGCTACTTGAGACGGAAGAGGAGAGAGGGAAGGTAAAAGGGAGTGGTAACAAAAGCGATAACAGAGCTCTTCAAATGCTGACTTGTTCATTTGATCATTTCACAAAAACAGTTCGGGGATTTGATCAAATAACTTACATCAGGGAAATGACCTCAAAGAGACATTATTTCAACATCTTGCGTGAATTGATCATCTTCCTTAGGGATTTGATGAAATCCCCAATTTCATCAGTTTCCGGTGACACATATATGGGAGCTCAGCATTCATGTAACGTTCCATTCTACTACTAATTTTTCGGCAGGTGAAATGAAGCTTCATAGTGAGTGCGGTAGTAAATATTGTGTGTGCGCATTCACCGTCATCTGATGCTTCGGTTTACATTACCCTATCCTAGGCAAAGACTTCCCAGCATTTTTGCAGTACTAAAAATAATAAACATGTTTTCTCCTCTGCTTCATGTCCTTTCTCTCTTGTGTTTTGTGTCATCACTACCGCGACAGGGAAGAGTTTTCGACCATGATCATAGTCATGCCTGGTCATGGCCCATTGCTCAGAGGAATTCACTTATTTAAGAACATTGTATTAAAAATTTGGGGTGAGAAGTTCTTTGTAAGAAATCAAATATATCAATTTTGCTTTTTGCAGTAAGTGTCGCACGGGTACAAATTGATAATCTTTTTTTCTGTTTGGAACGGTTATGAATAGTGATAACAGACAACAGTGGAGTAGCGACAATTTTATAGGTGGAACTAATTTTTTACTTTTTGGGAGGTTGACTACTGCGTAGTGAAAACAAACATGGATCAGCAATTGTTTGATTTGTCACGAAAGTGCTGTATTTAAAAAATACCAATAAACAGGAGCCGTTCAATGACACTTTTTCTCGAAGATCTCTTTCAAGAGGTGATAAATAGGCTTTCTTGAATAATTTTTGCAACAGCAACAAAGTGTTTTGTTAGTGGTAATATAACACCGGTAGCAAAGACCTCCTAAGAAGAGTTTGTTATATTATTGATAATCATATATGAAACCGTTTATACTGTTACAGAAATTGTGAAGGAGTGTTTCTTAAATGCTTCTAATTTATTGTTATTGACAAAAATAAAAAAAAAAAATATAAAAAAATAATAATTAAAAAAAGAAAAACAGGAGTTATAATATTTTGATAAATTTTCTATATTTTAAATTTTTAATGTTAGCTTAGTCTTAAAGGATTTCTCCCTCTCTCTTCGCCATTTATCCTCATGTTGCCCCCCGCATGAAATAACCAACATATATGAATGCGGCCCGCCTGAAATAGCTGACATATGTATGCGGCCCAGCAGAAAGAAAGGTTGAGTACCCTTGGTCTAGATGTACCCAAACTGTCCCAAAAGTTTGTTAACCGTTGAAGTCACATACCCTGTATGAGGTGTGATACAAAAAAACGAGACTAAGAATGTAGCTTGAAAAAAAAAGAGTGGAGTTGACAACAGCTGTTTTGATGACGTCTTCCAACACCCCTCCTCTATCCATATGGCCAATAGGGAGTACTGCGTCATTGAGTGAACACATGCTACTACATTCTGCCAAAAAATGTCGAATCAACATCAAGTTTCTTGTGAAACTTAAGAAATCAGCCACGAAAAACATTCCAAATACTAACCGAGTCTTATAGAGATGAAACTTTGTCTTGTGCACATGTGTTTGAATGCCATACATGGTTTTCAGAAAGAAGGGTCAGTGTGGAAAATGATGAACGTCGTGCTGGGAGCCAAGATCAGCGAATACAGACCAAAGTATTGCCGAAATTCGTGATATGAGTTTGTGCCCACTCACACATCAGTGGTCAGACTGTTAATCAACACAACTGTTGTTGTTTGTTGCTCATGCCACCTGTCTGAAATAGTCAGATTGAGGTCCACGAAATTCATCGTTGCAATGGGCTGGAAGTACGCCTGTCGATGGCTTTTAGCCTTGAGCACCATACAGGTGACAGTACGATTTAGCTCGGAGAAATTCCCCGAAGGGACGATAGATGACGACACCACCTATTTCCACCTCCACAATTTAGGCATGAAACTGAATTGGAGGGAAATTTTCTCCAGTTTCCTGCACTCGTGATTCAGCCCACTAGACTTTCGGACCCACTGATTTAACGAGCACGTACTCCGCGTGTACTCGGAGGGTATTTGGTGGTACGAGCATCGAACCCAGGCCTTCCGGTCCGGAGTCCGGTGCTCTAACCACTAGGCTACCCACGGCCTGTCAACACAACTAAATTGAAGTACTAAAAGAACTGCGTAAAAAAATTAGGAAAAAAAAAAGGCTAGAATTGGGGAGTGATGGCTGGCTGTTGTACCAAGACAATGCATCCACTCCCATGGCCCTATCGGTCAAGCAGTTTCTGACCAGCAAAAACATTACTCTGTTGGAGCACCCTCTTTGTTCAACTGATTTATCCCCATGAGACTTTTTATTTTTATTTTCTGCAGTTAAATCTTGCTGAAAGGGAACCTATTTTACCTCATTTGAAGAGGTTGAGGCAAAAACGGAAATTCTCCTAAAGGGCCTTCCAAAACCCTCATTCCAGAACTGTTGCCAGTCATGGCAATACCGAATGCAGAAGTGTGTGAATGCTGAATGGAACTACTTTGAAAGTGATAATGTCACGGAGAATTGATTCTGTAAGTACAAGGATTTATTAGAGAAGTCTCGTTTTTTTTGTGTCACACCTCGTATATTCGAAAAATTATAGAATATTAAAACTAAAATAAAATACTTACTGTTCTTAAATTCCAAAAATTTAATGGAAATTATTTCCAATAATTTTTTTTCAGATTACGCACTAATAATCCTATTGTAGCAATTATATTTTTAGTATAATTTCCACCGAAAGGAAATTATAGTTGTATAAAAATCTTTTAGAAAGGTATTCGAATACCAATAATCTGGTACAGAGGTTAAAAATTTTTTTTTCAATTTGGCTTAGTTTTATTTAACCATTGAATTATGTAAATGCTTTTACGGTGTCAGCTATTTATAAGTTAATTATTAATATTAATTAATATTTTAGTTTTCTTAAATGCTACTTGTAATCTATTTAACTCCGATAAAGACCATGATCACAAATAGGTGATTACTTCAGGAAATATGGTATCATATGTGAGAATGCGTTTCCCCCATTCTGAAGGCCGTGATCACACCGGTGTGATCTTAATTTGATACTTATGGAATTTGGAATGATTATAAATGGTAAATTTCGGCGTATTTTATGTAAAGTAATGCTTTTATGTAAATTTTTAGGTGGAGTTAGGCTTAATAGGAAACACCGCCTGGTCCTAAAGGGATTAATAAAAAAAACCCAGGAAAGTTTTATTATTAATAAAATTGGGTGGGTGGGGTAGGAGAGGTTAGGAGACAAATAATGAATTAACTGGAGTCATATATCATTTATAAGGATAAAAAAGAATAAATTTTTTTTATCATTAACTTCGTGAAATAATTTATTGAAAAGAAATGTCATTGTCTAGCCTGCTAATTATATAACGAACTATTTCAACCTACATCTAGTCAAAGCATGAGAAATTAATTTTTCCGTGATAATGGTTTTGAGAAAACTTTAAATATGTCCCATTAACTAATACATTTGGAACAATATGCATTAAAATGATTACAGAATTCAGGACGTTTAATAATTTTAATGTAGAAGTCTAAAGTTTTTCCACTCATAATTACGAAGTTTTGAAAGACATGTTCATCAAAGTGTGATCGATGGGAATTCTTTTAGAATATTCATTATTTGAATAGTCAAAAGAGACGCCGATACCTATTTTTATGGAAGAGGTTTTTTCTTTTTTTCTCTAGGGGAATAAATAATTTTGTCATTTTTGTTGAAAAAATGTAATCTTTATTATTCTAATGGGCCTATTAAAGTATGGGAAATAAAAAACAAACAAACGAAAAACTTAATTCGAAGCACTTATCTGGAACATTGACATAATGGAAGTAGGGTGTCTTTATTCGAGAATATGTGCTGGCATCAGGACTTCATAATGTAGTATTTATTGATAATAGATCACGTTCTCTTTTTTTTTAAATAATTTAAGAGACAATTAACAATTATCAGCCCAAAGTTTGAGTACCTGAGGAAACTTTGTTTTGTTTTTCAATTCCTACTATTAGTTTACACTCTCCCTATATATATATATATATAAAAAAACTGTCCTAGTCAGCAATGTTTATAATACTGTAGCATCAAATATATTTTTATATTCTTAACCCTATTATAATTTTAAGTTCTAATATCCTTCTGTGTGTGTCTGGTTTCTTACAATCTCAATTTTTTTCGGTTTTGTTAGATTAATGTTTATCTCATTAGTAGATAATTTACACTATATATATATATATATATATTTATATATATATCTTGTTCACAAATTTTCAATCGTTAATAAAATACTTTTTATTCATCCACTCAAGTTCAAATAGATTTTTTAAAACTTTGTTGTGGATGACACTTGATGCTAATCAGATCTTTCAAATATTAATTCATTAATAAATAGTAGCAAATAAAAATAATGGTCCAACATCATATGTACAAAGGAAACTCGTTAATTGTGTCCTTGTAGTGCAATGGTTAGCACGTTAGACTTCTAATCCAAAGGTGGTGGGTTCGAGTTCCCCCTAGGATGGCCTTATTTCTGAGAATGTGATTTTTTTACTATATTATTTGATAAGAATAATTAAATTTAATGAATGATTAAATAGTAACAGAAAAAAAAAGAATAGTCCAACACTCTATATCGAAAGGAAAATGGAAAATTGCAAGAAAAATCGCTTCCTATTTTGTCAGATAACATTGTGATTCTGTCATATGTATATACATATTTATATTGATTGTAACTATTTAATTAAAAGGGACTAAAATAAAATTTTTCTTTTTTGAATTAAGTAGGAATTCACTTAATGTTTATTTTTAGATTACTTGTTGTCACGATAAAGACACGCGACAGTGGTAGCCTGGTAGTTATGGTCGCAGACTTTTGACTGATGTGTCTTTTGAGTTCGAGTCCTAATGCCATTGAAGACCCGCCATGTAGAGGGGTTGATGCTCGTTAAATATGTCGAGGCTCAATGTCTTCCCGCTGGTGTGGTGGGGATATTCGGGGACGGGGTACCAGCTCAGTTGACGTTTTCATGACTTGATCATGGTTCATAATCGCAAGGTGTACTGCTAATATCCTTATTGTTTTCCAATAGCGTTATGATACGATGGTAACAGACACTCACTCACGATAACGACACAGGGTTCTGAGCAATGACCTCTGGTTTTTTCTATGACTGACCAGGAGTTCTAAGAATATCCCTCCAATCAAAAGAATTAAATCAGGTTGAGTTTATTAGAAGATATTTGGGAACTATAGAGGAACAGAACTGTATTAAAATGAAAAATGAACTAAAAGTATTGATCCCTGAAGAGTGTAGAAAGGAATATAGATTCCAAAATTACTAAAAAATTTAGTGAACTGTATATTCAGACGCATAAAAGTTTGGGTGGAAGCTCAAAGGTAACCTTTTGAGTTCAAAATTTGCAATATTTTCTATATTACAGCGGATTTTTTTTTAAGTGCGTCATTCGTTTTTGTGAGGTACTTTTTTGCTTAATTTTTGATTTTTACTTTGAGAGTTCTACTTTTAAGAGTTTTACTTTGTATTTTAGTGAAATGATGCAGTTTTGTTTTAGGAAAATAAAATTACTTTTTTAACTTTCTTTTTCTTTGAGAAATGTCAAAATTTATTGCAGATAGAGCTCACAATTTCACAAAAATTTGAAAGTGTATGATGATGTGTGATGTTCATTAAAATGATATTCGAATAGTTTGAAATATTTAAATTAATAGTTTTGCTTGATTTTTAACTATAAATAAATAAAACTAGGCAGACTCTTAGTAGAAACTTACAAGCTTTACCTAAATATGTACGTACGTATGTATGTATACGGAAAGAGTAATGCATTGATTGCAATGATATTTGTAGAAATACTAAAAGCTCTTCACTAGTTTTTAAATATTAGGAAAAAAGAAATCTTTTAGTAAACACAAATGAACCGAGGTATAAAATTTGGTTTTTGTTCTTAATGTAGGCGTATTTACTTTAGCTTATAAGTAAGAGTTAAGCAACAACAAAAAAAAAACTGTTTTAAATTGCTATGTTTGTTTGACTCTTCGCCATTTTTTCTTTAGAAATCTCCTACAAAATAAACAGTTAAAATTGAGCTGAAAAGTTAAGCATTTCCTGAAAAAGTGCCAAATTTAGTTTGAAGCATTTCTTTCGAGAGTTAGAGAATAATAAAAGTTTATTTAAAAAAAAAAATATTTCAGTTTCTTCTCTTAACATTCCATAAGAGAACTCTACTTTTTTCTGTACCATAAAATCCGATTCATTCTAAAACGAATAAAAATAAATCTAGATTTACAAACTTGAACTTTCAAAAATGTAATATTGCACTGCATTAAGGTATCCGACTACGTTTGGAACCGTGATTTTAAAAAAGCGCATTAATGGATAATTTTCATGATATTTAGTGTCACTTAGATTAGAATATATGTATAAATTTGTTTTAAGGACATTTTGACAAAAAATATATTTAAGTACAATATTTCGGCAAAAAATTAACTTAGAATAACCTTTTTTCAAAATATTCTCCTTTTGTGAAAAATGCTTTTATTATAATAATATTTTACCTGTATATAGCTCAGACCTCTGTACAGAGGCTCAACTATGATGTTTGAAAAATTCACATTATTTTCAGAGTTACAACTAATTGATATAGTTATCGGCGTTTTTTTCTTAAAATTCGTAAAACATGGATAAACCCACTTCTAAGTTATATATTTCAAAAATTCTAGTTGAGCCTCTGTACAGAGGTCTGAGCTATATACAGGCGAAATATTATTATAATAGAAGCATTTTTCACAAAAGGAGAATATTTTGAAAATGGGTCATTCTATTTTCATTTTTTGTCAAAGTATTGTACTTAAATAATTTTTTTATTGTAATACTATTCTTAAAACAATTTTATATACATTTTCTAATCTAAGTGACACTAAATATCATAAATATTACCCATTTATACGCTTTTTTAAAATCACGGTTCCGAACGTAGTCGGATACTCTAATGATTCATTTGGGCTTATCTGTATTTAAAAATTAATGGATATTTTGCATTGGTAGTATTTGTTCTTTTTTGTTGAATATTATTCTTAAATACAGTTCTATATATTAACAACTTATACACAAATTAGGAATTGTTATTATCCAAAAGTCATACCACTCATTTTTCACTGTATTTACTTCAGTTTACTCTTAGAGATATTAAATAGTCGCAACGAAAAATTAATTTCAAAATATATTTATTACTAAATTTGAACGAAATCTTAATATAATTGCGTGAAGTCTATGTAAAATGTAATGTGTGCCGTAAGGAACATGTTGTAAGTGACAATTTTAAGTGTTACGAAAACTATTAATATATGTGCCAACATAGCACTTGGATCTCAAAATGCTAATTATGAAAGCACATATCTCCATGAAAACATAATTCTAAGAGTCAATCATTATTTTTAATTATAAACTCTTTAGATACTTACGTATGAAACACAGTAGATCAATTTCTCTATAAACCAAAAAACATCTCCAAATCAAAGGACGTCTCCAAATGTTGTCATTGTATGCTTGAACAACATTATTGTGTTTGTACATGCGAGGGAACAGTTTCCAATTATCGGATGTTTTTTGAGGCATTTGGCGACGACTTTTCATTTGACGAATGGGCTCAATTCATGTGACGTCATTAGTCTCATGATAATGACAACTGCGTGTTTTTAGATAATCTGTTCGAAAAACTTGCTTAATGTCATAGTCACACGAAAAAAACAATCATGTGCTTCCAGCTAATCAGTTCTCCTTCATTTTTTTGTTGCGAACTTTTTCTCTTTGCAGAAACTTTCTCTTAAATTATCAACAATAATTATACTCCAATAATATACAAATGCCTTTTATTTAAAAGTGGATGCCTAAAATAAAACTTTCTTTGATAATTTTCTAAAATGTTTTTGATGAAATTTTTTTTTACAATGTTTAAACATCTTTACCCAATTATAAAATTTGAAATTTTACTTGTAGAGTAACTTGTAGAATTTAATGCCTAATTTGAATTCAATGGAGAACACGTGTTTATCTTTATCATGTGACCGTCACCCATCGGTCAATGGTATAATATGTGGTGCCACTCCTAATAAATTCGATATTTCCTGTTTGATATTATTTAATATTTGCTTTGCGTTTGTTTATTCACTTTGAATCTGGCAACATAATTTTAGTTAAGTTAGTTTTTGAAATATTCTGAATGTAGTTGTATTTTAAGTTAAGAATAGAAATGTATAATGTTTTATCTTTTCGGAACGTGTACTCGTATAATGGTTTTTTCATGTAAATAGCTTCATTAATTCTTTATTATAAATAGCTTCATTTATCCTGCGTGTTGAAGTAAAAATAAAAGGAATATTGAAACCAAAGAATAATAGTTTTTCGAGTTACAACTATATATGTACACCATTCCTTCATGTAATTATCAATTTAAAAATATTGGTATTTGAGATTTTTTTTTCATAAGGAGACGAACTAATTAAATTTTTAAATCTCAGGCAGAGGTTTATTTTTTTTTAATTTTTTATTTAGTTGCAAGATTTTTAAGACTTTACGAAGCTTGCAGAAAAATCAGTGGTACGCTTAGAATTCCTTTTTAATGGCATTAAAGTTTACTTTTGATAATTCGCCTTACTTCTTATTTATAATCTTTCTTTTTCTTTATCTCCATCAGTCTTTACGTTGTAGGAACACAATATCGTGACAGACGTTTTAGGATCGACTACAGATAACCTCCTTACTACTGTCATTGATAACTTTTTATTTGAAAGCAGTTGAATCTGGTAATACTTTCTTGATGCAATCAAGGTAATTGGTATCTGTTTTACGTGCTTCACGTAACAGTTTTCCAATCTACTTTACTATTCAATTATTTACATGAACAATCAAACGAGACTAAATAGTTTCAAGAACTCTTATTCCGTGAGAATTTAATCATTGAAGAAATTGTTTTTCTGTTTTGTTGTTTTTTTGTGATGTTCTTTTGTGTGCTGGTTGTAAAGGAAAGTAAAAGCATCTTCTTTAATTATAAATGTTTGATAGTTTCGCAAACTTCTTTCAGTATAAAAGGGAGGTGGTGGGAAGGGTAAGGACTTTATACCCTAAAGGAAAATCAATCAATTACCTTCAAATTGCTGAACAGGATAGAAAAGAAGATAAAAGATGGTCTACCATGATCAAAAAGTTACAACTTAACAATCTAATTAAACTTGAAATCTAAATGAAGATATATATCTTGTATATGAAATGTTTGGTGTTGTTTCAATAATAAAAGTAATGTGTTGCCTATATTTACATGTTCTACATTTTTCTAAAATGACCCACGCACGCACGTGGAGAGAGAGAGAGAGAGAGTGGTGTGAGAGAGAGTTAGAGAGAGTGTATGTGAGAGAGAGTTAGAGAGAGAGTGTATG